CATTCAAAGTGTCTTGAGTGTGATGACTCTAGTAATCCACTGGGACTTTCCTGTTTTCCTGTCTATCCATCAGATGGAGGGATAGAGAGAGGTGTATATCTTTCCTAATTCACTGAAGGTGAGCCATATGGCAGCAAAAAAATCAGAAGGAGCTTGATAGTACCATTTCCAATTAATACATTTTAATAAAAGGCATATGCTTTGGTGAGCTGCAGCTCCCTTCCTCAGATGCAGAAAGCCACCAGATAGATGTATAATAACATTGCATTCAAATCATAACTAACTAGCAAGGTAATGGTTAGGGTTGGGTTTTCCGTTTTGCCAACTCTGCTAATATTCTATTTTCCTGACAAATTTTATTAACAATCTCTGTAATGAGAGATCACTGATAAAATCTGGTAGTAAGCTTTTGAACTAACGGGATCATCAGGACACACAACCACTGTTATTTTAGCTTCAGTTCCTTCTTTCAGAGGAATTTAATATCTGCACAGCTCATACATCTATCAGGTATTTGAGTGTGCATGATTTCAAATGCAAAGTAATCCACACGTATATGAAACAAAAAAATCAATCCAATTTATTCCCCTGTTCTGGAGAAATCTTTCTGCACTGCACTTTTTAAATTTACCGTCTTTGAAACTTTATCTCATTTTGAAATATATGAATGTAATGAGTATTATCTATTTTATTATCCTTCACTGTCATATTCTATAGGTAATCATGCACCCAAGATTGTTGTGGTCCTGGAGAATATCCTTGAGCACTACTAGGACCAGCAGTGGCAGGCAAGGCCAGATAAGTAGCTTAGTTTGCAGAAGTAATGAAGGCATGGCAACATCTCAAAAGGGACACACCCTGATTTCTTGGACTGTAAAGCCAATGGGGGAGAGATGTACTTTCAGACTTGCAAGATTCTGTTATTGCAACCTTACAGTAATGATAGTAGTTTAAGTATTTGTGATTGGTGCTTTTGCCTGGACTACCTCTAATGGCAGACAAAGTTATAGGTTTATCCAAGATGTAGACTGTAAACCTATAGATCATTTGTGTGAATACTTCTTATAACAGAAGACTAAACAGTGCCACATACCATGTAGATGAGTTAACTTGGTAGATGTAATATACAGAGCTTTCATTCCCTATGCAGCATTGAAGCAGCTACCTCAGGGACGGATAGTGCAAGGTGAGACAGGCAGCAATGAAATATTGGATGAGACAGTTGTGTATGCGGTATGACCTGCCCTGTGATCTCTAAACTTCTCCTGCTGCCCTTAAACTTGATGAGAGGTTTCTCACTTAGTGAGAAATGCAGGAAGGGACATCCCCCTGCAAGAAGCCATACCCAGGGCTCCTCCTGGGAAAAGCTATTAATTGTTCCCTACTCCATTAAAGGAGGGGAGTAAAGAATAGGAGATGCTATATTTCCATTGCACCCATACATTGTGAAATAGTCTCCCCTGCAAAATTATATTTGTCCTTTAATATAAGGCATTCTGGAAAGTGTTAAAAATAGAGTTTATCCAATGCACAATTGTTGTCACAGATTTATTTGGGTTGTTCTAGATGTTATAATAATTGCTTTGGCAATTGGTGGAACAGCTGGTGGATTGGTGGGTTTATTGATTTTAACTTTTGCTGTGAATGAGCATTTTGCGTCTTTTTTATGTCTGCTAATTTTTATTATTGTAAACCCTGTGGTTGTCTACGGTTGATTTGATGAATTATAGATGTAATTAAGAAAGAAATCAGCAAAATGTTACCTAAACTGCTGTGGTATGGTGGAGGCAACATCTTATCAATCCTCTTGGTAGTAACATTTCTTGATGTTCCTTAATAGTGAATTCCTGATAAACCCTTTCCCACATCCTTCTTAAGTACGTTGTTGTATAGTCCAATTCTTCGCAACCCCATGGACCATGGCACTCAGGCCCACACTATCCTCCAGTGTCTCCCTGAATCTATCCAAACTGATGCCCACTGCATCGATGACACTACCTGACCATCTCTGGTTAAATTTCATCCTCTGCCATCCCCTTCTCCTTTTGCCTTCTGTTTTTCCCAATATGAGGGTCTTTTCCATTGAGTTCTCTCTTCTCATTTATGGCCATTAGAGTGGTATTGGCTGCCTATCTGAGGTTGTTAGTATTTCTCCTGGCAATTTTAATTCCAGTTTCTGATTCATCCATCCTGGCATTTCAATGATGTTCTCTGAATATAAATTAAATAAGCAGGGTGACAATAGACAGCCTTTTTGTATACTGTCGCTTTTGACAGGAGATTAGGCATTCCAGATTGTGAGTGAAACCTCTGAGAAGGTACATTGACAGATTTCTCCTCCTATTTCACACAAGGTGAGCACCTTCTTGCCTTGGAGAAACAAGCACACGCTGAATCTTTGCCAGGAAAGTTGGTTTAGTCAAAGCTGAGCCATGTAAAGCTTTAAAGATAGTCACCAGCATTTTGATCTGGATCTGGAACAAACTGAAAACCAATGCAGTCGAACCTTAGCGTGTAGTATTAAATATGCTATCCTTGATTAGAAAATACATTTTGGACCAATTAAAGTTTTCAAGCCTCAGTGCCTGGGAATGTACAATGTCATTGTCTAGTATGGACTGTAATTAATAATAATTGTTATTGATAATGTCTTATAAATAACAATTAATGCTGTAGTGGTTAAGGCATTAGATAAAACTCAAAATGGTGGCTACAGTGATACAATTCAAGCTCAATCTATTTCAAGATGATAGCTGTGACACAGGGGTGGGATTCTACCAGTTTGCACCTATTCGCTAGAACCAGTTGTTAACATTCTAAGCAGTTTGGAGAACCGGTTGTAAGAAGAAATTACTGGCCTAATCCTGTAAGGAAGGCAGGAAGGAAACATTCTGGTGTTGCTTACAGAAACTGCCTCTCCATTAACTCTTATTACATTCTTGGAAGGACTAGACTTCCTGTCTCTGGAACTTCTTTGGAGTTTTTTCCCCCTCCTTTGCTGGTACTTTGCTTGTGTGGAGTGACCATTCAAAGTTACAATGGCACTGAAAAAAGTGACATGACCATTTTTCACACTTATGACTGTTGCAGCATCCCCACAGTCATGAGAGGCAAGGCGAGGAGATGCGTGCCTCGATGTGAGTGATATTGAGTTGGCCACACCCAGCCAATAACATGACCACCAAGCCATGTCCACCCAGTCACATGACCAAGCCACGCCCACAGAACCGGTTATTAAAAATTTGAATCCCACCCCTGCTGTGACATGCATAAAAAGCGGATAAATCTTCAGTTGTACCATTACAGCTACTATCTTGATTCTCCCCCCCCCCAATTTCCTATGGACACCCCTGCATTTTGAACACAGAACACTTAGGGAAAAGAATGACTAGCAATAAACAATAATGTTCAATAACTTCTAAATGTAAAATATAGTTTGGCTTCAAAGACTTTTCACTTTCTCTTCAACCTGTATAGTGGAATTAAATTCCAATGAAACATAAAACCATTAAGACTTTGGATTTTAAGATTTTTTAAAAACAATTTTAAATACAGTACAGAGTATAAATTAATTGTACATAAAATGAGGGATGATGAAAGACCCACCTCCCACCTTACAAATAAAAGTATGCAAAAAAAACCCAACAACAAATTGCCTTTGAAAACAAAGTGAAATAGGACTGAATAGCAAATATTTTAATGTCAGAAATAAACCATTGAGTATAAGTGAGTAGACAGGAAATGCATATTTCCAAACTGTTTTGAGCAGATTTTTCATACATCTTGGTGCCATGGAATTACATTAAGAGACCACAGCTATAGCATTAATGCTTTTTTTTTTTTGTTGTTAACCAGTACAATCTGGCTAAATACAAGTAGTTTATTTATTAATGACCACAAATCTCAGTCTTATCAGGTGTTAGAGAACCATGGATGTTTTCACATGAGAAAAACTGGGCGGAAGCAAGATGTGTCATAAAAATTTATCTAGGGCACCCAAACTTCAATAGATCACTCAAATGAAATCAAGGAGATTATTGAACCCCATTCTCTTTGGACAACAAAATCTGAACTAGGAGGTAAAGTAAGTATTCCAACCAATTTTCTATTCTGCTTCCATAGGGAGATGGACTGAAAATGGAACAAGGGAGGAAAAGGTGCATTTTGAGAATCCTTCATTAGGCAGGGGAACATGACAAAAAACAATTTTCTCCTGTTAGAGCCCTAGTTACTCCACGTCTCTGTAGTAACTATTACTTAGTTTGCCCAATTTTAGCATCTTCCCTTTTGTTTCAACTGGAGTAAAATAGATTGCTTTTCAATTGCACACCATACGTTATCAAGTAGGTGGTTGCATTTGGCTTTACTATCTTGCACAGCCACTGTAATCTATAAACCGTGGCTAATAGCTCAGAACTAGGAACAAACCCAAATGTGGCTTACCCAAAGAACGTAGAATGACCACCCAAACTGCAAAAATCTGGGTTAGATAGCAGTAAAGACAAATGATAGAACTCTGTTCTGCCATTTAATGATCAGCTGGAATTTTGCAGCACCAAACTATTAACTCTAACCAACCATGGTTTGCATAGCTCATTTAACATGTTTTAAAGATTGCAATAGGCCTTATTTCTTGTCTTGATGCCTCCTTACCAAGAGCTTTTCACAGTTTCAGCTATTTAGACAAGATTCTCTTAACAAAGGTATTTGTATTACTGCTGGATTCTATCACATGTTCAGTCACTGAGGATAAAACTAGAATGTTTTCAGTTAAAAACTTAAGCACGTTTTTCCATCATGAGGTGGCCAATAGTATAGAAATTATAGAATTTAGACCTTAAATGCCGAAACCTTGTTCAAACTCTACCCATCTATGACCTCAGCAATTTTCTTTTTGTCTTTCCTCTTTTATAACAACACAGTAAATGACCAGGGCTAAAATACAATTGGAAAGGGCATGTTACACATTCATATATCTTTCTTTTTTTGTTTGGTATTCCCTCAGTAAAGGTCCATAGGCAATTAAACCACTTTTTTCTTTTTTTTCTGATAAAGTGAATATCTTTTGTTGTTTTTACCAACTGATTCCTGGAAGGAAGGCTACTGTTTTGACAGAAGAATCAGCGAATTTTGCATTTAGTGACAGGGAACAACTTATTCATCATCTTTTTAAAGAGAACAAATCCCAAACTGGAGACCCTAGGAGAGAGAAGTCTGCCATCTCCATCAGACGTTACTAATTGGACTGGGACAGGGCCAGCAGCACTTTGTGTAATGATATTCAGCACCACTTAACTTTTATATATATATATTCAATACATTGTGCAGCATTGTATGGCTTTTCTAAGATTTTACACAGCTTGGTTTTCATAAGATTGGAAGATATTAACCTGAGATTAGTGCTGTAAGACTTGGGGTACCCAGGATTGGGGTGGGGTCAAGATGGCAAGGGCAACTGCCATCTTTACTTTTTTTTTAACTTCTGACCCCTAACCCAATCCCACCAATGCCCCTGTATAAGACTGTATCTGGGCATAAATGACTGCTAGAGAAATAAATGACATACAAATGAAGGCTGATGCTATATACCTGTATCCTAACAATGACTGGTTGAAACTGCTATTTACTTGGAGTAGCAAGAGCTTTTGTGGTCCTAAGTAGAGACCTCTTTACCTCCACTGTCATTTGAGATCACTTATAGAGATTGATGATGATGATGATGATTGCCTCTATACTGCCTAATCTTAAAACAACATGCTGAAACATTGCTGTGGCCCCGCTTACTAAAAAGCAATGCTTTATTCTAGCAACTACAGAGGCAGTGACTATAAAAATAGCCCAACATGGGTGCTATAAGCCCCAATTTGTCCATAAGTCAAATTGTTACTTTCCCCGATGTAAATTTAATAACAGAAACATCTCTAAACTCAATTGACAGGAGGAGCCAAGTCTTTCTTAACATCACTTTCAGAAATTACTTCTTTGACCCATGAGGAAGCTTTGAATGGGGGTGGGTAAAATGGACTCCCAAAATAACTGTTCCCTGTCTGTTTCCAGAAAGAGCCAGGAATGGGTATTTAGTATTGATTGCTTCAGTTCCCCAAGGCATAGTATGAAAAATGAAATATACACAAAGACCACGTTTCCACCTATCAGTGGAAACATGACAGTAAAAGTCCTTAGTGCATCTGCTGTCACTGTTTGCCATACTTACATGCCCACTGCCACAGTAAACAACCTGAGTCCAGTTAAGTCCAAGATGGGACAAGGAGGGGAAAAAAAGGAAAAAATAACCATGTTATATTCCTCTTTTCCCCAAACCCACCATTTCTAAAATGCATTTGAGCCACAAGTCTTGCAACATTTCAACAGTGTTTGTTGCAGCAAAAAGCATGTTGTCCATCCCCATTGATGTCATTTTGCTCTTTATTTCCTCTCTCCTTTTTTCTTCTTCACAAGATGGATGTAATGCCATTATTAACTTAAATGGCAAACTTTGGTGAGAAAACATTCAGCGAATGAAGAATTGGGAAGCACCGTTGGCCGTCCAAAAGGGCATTGAGGCAGATGGACGGAGAGAAACTTTTGATAACCCCATGGGGGCTATACAGCAAATATATTAAATAAACCTGAAACATAAGGAAAAGAAACAAAAAGGGTTAGCATTCCATTCCAGAGAATAAGTCATCTGCTCATGGTGCCTAAATCAGCCAGGTATGAGGTTGGTTGTGGTTTTCTTATACCACTTCACATTTTCATATCCAGAAGATTTCTGTCCTGACAGCTAAATTTAAGGATTGCTTCCATACAAAACACAGTCACTAGGTGAGCGGCATAACAATTCATAAAAAAACTAAATAAATCTTCATTTCAGACCACAACATTTTGTGCCCAACATTCAGCCATAATAATAGAATGGTGTGGTGGCCTAGTAGTAAAGATGCTCACTGCCCACTGGAAAGTTGAGAGCTCAATCCTAGGTAGCAAGAGATGTTTATCTCGTAGAGTGCAAAGAGAAAATATCTGCTGTGAACTCCATTTGGTGTCAGGAAGGGCATCTGGCCAGTAACAACTCAACTCCATTCAGTCACCCCAACTCTACCCTGAATTAAGGGATTACCTAAGGGTTGCAAAAAGAAAAAGAATTCTGTCATAATACCCAATCAGATGCCTACCAGGACATGATTGTGGGGACACTCTATAGAAATTCATACTGACTTTAATAAAATCTGATAATAAAAATCCTTCAAGAATATCCTAACAATGCTGATGTCAATTTGTAGTATTCTGATTTTCCTAAACTGTCTTGTCATTTTTTCAGTTATGATTTATGACAGGATAATTTTGAATCTTTCAGAAATAGCACTTTTTAAAGCTAAAGGTTTATTTTTGTTTGATCTCTGCAACTTTCTCATGAATTATATATGAACTTCTTGATTTGGGTTGGGTGGGCTTTAATAACTAGCTTCATTTATATTTTTTCTCATAAAGCTTGACATAGTAATGGAAGATTCATCACTATAACTTTACTATGCTGAAAATATTACAAATAACATTGCACATCATGTTTGTTGAATGGCAGTAATTGAATATTATAGAAATTTGATCATGTCAGAGGCACTACTGGGCAATTGATTGGCTCTTTCGGGACTTCTTAGTTTAAAAGACATTTGGAACAAAAGTTGGCATTTTAACAGTACATCATTTTGAGTGTCTTGGGTGATGTGATTTACTGTTGTTTCTCAGGTTGTGATTAGCTTATCCATTTCTTTTTCCAATACTAGGAAACACTCATGTTTCTACTGCAATAGGCGGATGGATGCTTGACAGGGTGAGAAGAAAGCAACAACTAAAAATGTGGACAGGCAGAAGATAGCTTGCACTGCAGGTACCAGATGGACTGGTAAGTTACAACGTAAAAATGTTTACTGTATGAGGAATTTAGAATATTGGTGGGTGGGTGGATTACATTGTGTTGGCCTTTATTTTGCAGAGAGGTATCTTTGCAAGTACATGCTACTGTGCTTCAGATACAAGTGTTGGTAATATATTTAAAGTTTTGTACATGCAAAGAGAACTAAGATAAACTTGGCTTAGTTGGGCTGTTAAGCTTTCATGTGCATGCATGCTTCATATGCATGCTGTATTTTTTTTGTTGGATTCTTGAGCTTTAACATGTTTATCGTTGCTCTATTATTAATAGAATTTTTGCAGTAAACATTTTTGCAGCAGCTTCCATCCTTATTCGCAAACAATCAGACAAATCAATGAGTTAATTTTGCTGAGGTTGTATAGGGCAATGAGGCATAAAAGAAAACAAGACGTGCCAAATCTACTGATTGATCTTACAAAATAGCTGGTATAAAGATTATAATCTAAATTAAATTTGCAGTGGCTAATTGCAAAGTTAAATTTCCATTGTTTGCTTTAATAATTTCAAAAACATTTCAAAGCTCATCTTTTTGGTTGATTTTCCTGCAACTTAGTTAGACAGAAGGCAACACAATAGATTGTCCTCATAGTCTTGTAGATCTGGGATGAGAAACACTATTAATGGGGCTTTTCCCAAATTCACTGTGTTTCTTATGTTCCTATAAACAGAATATTTTATTTGTTTTAATTTTAGTTCAGCTGGAATACAGCCAACTGTTTCAACAGATCGTTTCAAATTGGACTGTTTTGTCTCAAACTCATAATAGACACACATATTTTTGCACTCCCCAAATAAAATAAGGAATTCAGTCATCTGAATTCCTTCTCCAGCCAACTGTGAAAAAACAATGTCTCAGTAATTCAAATGGATTTAGTGTGAAAAATAACCTTGGTTAAGAGGCTCCCAAAATACAGCAATCAAACAGGACATGTACAGTCTCCAATGGATAGTTAAGAGTGCAGAAAGAATAATTGCAACCAGCCTGCCTTCCATTATGGTGGGATTCAATTTTTTTTACTACCGGTTCTATGGGCGTGGCTTGATGGGCATGTCTTGGTGAGCGTGGCAGGGGAAGGATACTGTAAAATCTCCATTCCCTCCTCACACCTGGAGGAAGGTTACTGCAAAATCCCCATTCCCTCCTCACACCTGGAGGAAGGTTACTGCAAAATCCCATTCCCTCCCCACCCCACTAACCTGCTTTCCAGCTCTGTTCTCCTGTGCAGGGCAACAAAGGAAGACCCAGCCGATCAGCTGGGACTTGGGAGGCAGAGAATAGATGGGGGCAGGGCCAGTCAGAGAGGGTATTTGCCGGTTCTCCGAACTACTCAAAATTTCTGCTATCAGTTCTCCAGAACTGGTCAGAACCTGCTGAATACCATCTCTGCTTCCATAGAAGACTTGTATATTGTGTGGGTCAGAAGAAGAGCTGAGCATAAACTGTTTCAACTCCCCCATTATAGGCCATCGCATGCCAAACAACTAAACACAGGGACAATTTTTTTCCTTCATGCTATCACTCTGCTGAACATCTAATTCTTATAGTGCCATCTAATGTCTATAATACTACTACATAGTACCCATGTAGTATGGCTGTAGTATTATTATTTATCTTCTTTAGATCCCTTCTTTTTGGTATTATTATGATTATGATTATGATTACTCTATTACTTTGCATGTGCACTGACTGCTTCTGTACTGGAGATAAGTTCCTTGTGTGTCTAATCACATTTGGCCAAATAAAGTTCAATTCAATTCAGTTCAGTTCAATTCAAACGAGTGGTTATATTTAATACATTTACCTGACATTTGTACTTCTGCCTGCCAGCATTTTTATGCTGGGAAAATTTCTTTCAGTGCTTTTTTATCATGTACGTGTTTGAACTTTCGATGCTTCCTCTTTTGTGGCAGCAACCTGTGTGCTCTTGCCCTTGCTGGAAGAGAAGTTACAGCACTTACTGGGGGCTCACCTGCCAAAAAAAGAGGGTGCACAATAAACACCAGTATATAAGAGCTTAGTGACACTGACTGACAAACATATTTTTAAAGGAATTCTTTCAACTTATTATTTCAAACTTCTTTTCATATGTACCCAATTCTCATAAGCATAAATTCCACATTACTCACCTCTGTGCTCGCGTGAATTTTCCTGACTGGGAAGTCTGGGTGATACTGGCTCACATCGACATGCCAGGTGGTCTTCTAAGGCTACAATTGCTTTATTAAAGACTGGCCTTTTTTCAGCAACTTCAATCTTATTTACCTATCAAAAAGAAAGAACAAACTCTGTGATATATAGCACTGTGAATTCATCTCAGTTCAGCCAAGCATTATTACTATTAAAGATTTTGCTTGTACATTTTAAAGCTTTTTCATTGCCTTAGATGTAGTATTGCCCAGATGTAGCATGATTTATCCCAGTCAGAATAGAATCTTAGATTATTCCATTAGCATATCCTAAACAAGGACTGAAGCTAAAGTCCACACTGGGAAAACTGAAACATTTCACTTAAACTATCAAATTCCCCTGCTTAGAATATCAAATTATTTCACTAAAACAAATTGTAAAAATGCATTATGAAAGACAGTGCTGGCTTCTATTCACTGCTCAAGGTAATTCCTCTTAGCTGATCCTATAATAACCTATATAGAGCTGAAAAAGACCAAGAAGTTACTGAACTCATTCTTCTTGCAAGAAATTATCATCCATTTACTTGCCTGTCACCTCCTGCCACCCTGGATCAAAGTGCAAGTCACTGTCACAAGTGTAACATCAGATTTCTTACGAAAAGGCAAAGGAAAAACTCTATAGCAAACTACCCTAGCTAACGGCTACTGTTTTTCTTAGCATTTGTTCCATAGCACTGCAGGGCTTACCTGTATTTACACTACACTTGTGCAGCTCTTACAGAAAAGCATTCAGTGCACAATACAACAAGTTTTTTTTCTTTATCAGCAAGCCTGTTATATTGATTAGGGCCAAGAGGGAGTAATTGGCCCAAGTGTCATCCACCTGGCTTCTATACTTAGGATCTGGATCTCCCCATTCCTAGTACAGTACTTTAACTACCATATAACAAGGGATCTCTGAACTGCCTCACCTAAGTGTAAGAGGGTTAAATCTGTAGTGTGACTGTGGGCTTTGGGAAGGGAAGGATGCAATTCTACTAAAGTCTGTTTTAAATGTGACATGAGGCTATTGTTTGCACAGCACTCTTAACAGAGGCATTTTTGGTCCTATGTGCCATGAAAACCCAGTACCTAATCAATTCAAGGTCAGAAGGAGGACCATTTTAATCCCCAAACTTGGATTCAGTTTTTACTCAAAACATATATTTGGATAAGATAGTGTCACACCAATTCAAAAAGCCAGAAACATCTATACCAGCCAGTCAGTCAGTTCTCCAATGAAATGAAACCAAAGCAAACAACTCTGAAAAAGCAACATGCTGCATTATAACATTCACTGGCAAGGTCTGACAGTCACAAAACATACTGTTAAAACAATGAATATCTGCTTGTGTGGCTAATAGGGAAGCAGCCATAAATGTAATGAAGTTTTGCCAACATTCTCCTGGCATTAATGGGATGGAAGAAGTGGATGGAGTCCCTGTTCCTCCGATGGCAATCCTTGAACCAGGTTGCATGACTGATTGGTGCCCATCTAAGAATAAGGAACCACAATTGTGTCTATCTGGTTAAACATGTGATGCAAATGTAAACATAAAGTGTGAGTATCATCTTCCCAGGAGCCTAGCAGTGATCAAATGTCCCTTCAGTTTAACTTTTTTTAAAAGTCACATTCTACTATAGCACACAAATTACTTAGTAGACACTGTTTCTGCATAAAAAATACAGGCTTTTCTATTTTCAAAGAAACCATTTCAGGATCACGTTACAGACTATCCTATGAACTCTTTGTTTTTTTCCACAACACTAACACATCCCCATCATTCCACCCAACTTCATTCTCTTCTACTTCATAAAAATTTTATGGAGAAAGGAATTTCCCATTTAGAAATGGTGTAACATTTTCCTTCCTTTGTGCATTGTTATATGAAAAAAATCCAAGGAATTTGTTCTCAAACAGATGTCAAGCAAGGGATCTGTATTGTAAAATACTTTGTCCAGGAAGAAGCATAGAGATCCATATTGACTGGAAACTGAACAGCACCAGAAGAGGTAATTTGCAAGATATCAACTTACAATACATCCAGAGAAGATAATTTAGAAGAGCAGCTGGGAATGTGATATTTATTAAGTGCATCAGCACAATAAAGAATCGAACTGTTTGTTAGTATGTATATTAATATGTTCATTTCTGCCAGTTCTACCACTGGACTACTGGATTTAATTATTGTATTACATTTTAAAGGATAATTTGTTAGAGAGTTCCTTCTTCAGAAAACTTAAAATAAAGTCATTGATTGCTGTATCTGCAATCTTTATAAAACAAGGAGGAGTCAATACAGATCTGAACATGGCTTTTTTAAAACAAGGCATTTATAGGACTCATTGTATATGAAATATAATTGGCAATATTTGATCCAAACACTATGCAGGAAACAAACTCCTGAATATTATGATAAATAACTAAACCCTTATTAACCTTAACCTGTGAAACTATTTATATATCATTGAATCAATTCTTGGTGTATACATGATTTCCATTTGCCTAAAGTCCCAGAACAAAAAGTTTCCAGGGACATTACAATAATATAAGTCGAGTCGCCATAGGTGAATAGGCGGCAATATAAAACCAATAAAATAAATAAATAAATAAAATAAAATATCCCTGAACCCATTCATCATCACAGGTGTCATACCATTCTTCTTTTTCCTTCAAACTTGACAATCATTAATTTTTATGGTCCACTTGCATTATTTGTCCATAATATGTGACTTTCTGCTTGCTAATCATCATCTCTAGCAAACAGTTTTTCTTTTCATGACCTTTCTGCAACCTATGGCACTCTTAATGACTGCCTGCAGGCTCATAATTCAAATACAACTTCTTGTATCTTCTTTCTACGTCATTTCTATGTCATTTTCTCAGTGTTCACCTTTCACAGTGGTTCAATATTTGACTTTCATAGGGGAAAAAACCTGTTTGTATATCTGTTGACATAAAAAAAAAATCCCCTAAACCTTTATGATCTTGCCTCAGTTTGTATTTGTTTTCCTTCTTAAGATTAATCTATTTTTCTCTTGTATACTATCCATCTTTGCCTATTCTTCATCCAAAAAATCCAGAACTATCTACCATACCCGTAAATCCACCAAGCATACTTAATGCTTTCTTATGTTTAACTAGTCCAGATTTTTCACTATTTTCACTTTCCTAATGAACTCTTCTGCTGTTGTTTGTACATCTCAAATTCTCTGTTCAGTTTCCAATTTTTACAATGTCTACTGTCATTTCTGCCAATCCCTCTAATAATATACTTGTGCAAGTTTAACAAATAAGGAATTAATATACATCCATTTCCTCCACCTTTCTGAACTACTCTATTTTTCCAAATTCAGTTTTTATAATAGCTTCGTTGTGAAATTTATTCAAAACAATTCTGACATGCCCATTAGCCTTAAAATGTCCAACTGATATGATCTACAAAACAAAACAAAAACCTTTCTGTAGTCAAGCAATAAATATTTCTTAAACTTTGGATATTCTCTGACATTGGCTTTCTTTAATATAGATATGTACATTTACGTTTCCATTATTTGTTGGCTATAAATCCAACTCTCTTTTTCCTGAGCATTTTAAGCAGTTCAACAGGCATTTCATTTATACCTAATGCTCTTCTGTTTGACAGTGTTCTGTTGTTTTGCATCTTACTTTCTCATGGAGTTGTTTCCTAAATATATTATCTCCCTTCAAATATCTCCATCATCTCATAATCCCATTGGTAAAGAGTTTAATTAATTTCTCAAGCAATTTTAGACTCATTTATTATTAGATCTCTTGGATATTCCTATAACCTTTAATTTTTCTATAAGTTCTCTGGTTTTCTTAAAAGTACCTCTCTTTTCTTGTGATTTTCCTCTTTGGGTTAAAATTCTTGATTGATATATATTTCCTTGTCCTTACTTGCTTAAAGCTGGAAGTTTGCGATTAGTTGCTGTACTTCCTTCTTGTTGCCCAAGGCTTTCATAATGTCTGCCTGTCAAGATAATTTGTTCTGGAAGCCATTTGACATTTTGAGAATCTTCTTTCTATATATATTTTTCTGACTCTTATTTCTTCCCATAGTTTCTCAATTCCTTTTGCTATAAGTTAATCATTACACTGATCTTAAACTCTAATCGTACCAGGTCATATCCTGTTGGCATAAATACTCTCTTTAATTTCCAAGGCTTAACTCATATATTTAACACAATAATTCATTATTGGTTCCTCAACGTGCACCTGGAAGTTCTGGCTGACTGGATTGTACCTTCCCATCTTCTGTTCCCTATACGTAGCCAAATTGATAGCAGTGATATTTTTCTGATGCTGCCCAGGTGTACATTTCAGTTCTATTGTTTTAAACAGGTGCTGGCAAATGAACAAAGAATTATCTTTGCAAAACAATATTAACCTACCTTCGACATAATTTTGACCATACTTTGCATCATGCTGTCTTTTTGTTCTTTAAATTTTATTTCATTCCTTTGAAGGTCTCATAAAGTCCATCCAAACATGATTCTTTTGGTAGGGAGCAGCAGCTTGCAATTCTGATTCTGGACAGAGAGGACTGCTAGTTTGCAAGCGGAGTCAAACAGCCCAATAAGATTGAGCAGCTTCTCCCAACAGAGGGGGAGGGATACAACAGCACCTATTCCCTGTTTACAACACAGTCCTTTTAGCAACTCTAAAAAGGTCCCACACTTATTTGCACCATTCAGGTGACCCTGACGGTACAGATAAATCTCCAAGTGGCCTCAATGACTCTCAGAAAGAGGGCTAACCATCAGATGACTACACCTGTCAACAGTGGTGTCCCCCAAGGCAGTGTTCTAGGACCAACTCTCTTCATACTCTACATAAATGACCTCTGTGATCATATTAAGAGCAACTGCGTGCTCTTCACTGATGATGTAAAGCTATTCAACACCACAGACAATACTGATACCCTTTAAAAAGACTTTGACTATGTATTAGAATGGTCAAACAAATGGCAACTTCAAATCTCAACAAATAAATGCTCTGTCTTACATATTGGCAAAAAATCAGAAAATAAAATACAAGTTGAATAGTCAAGACCTTGTTGATGATCCAAACTCTGTCAAGGACCTTGGAGTACTCATCTCTAATGATCTAAGTGCTAGAACCCACTGTAACTACATAGCCAAAAAGGCATTAAGAGTTGTTAACCTAATCCTACGTAGCTTTTTCTCTGGTAATATCACACTACTAACTAGCGCATACAAAATATTTGCTAGACCAATACTCAAATACAGCTCATCAGTCTGGAACCCACATCACGTATTTGATATTAACACAGTTGAGAAAGTCCAGAAATATTTCACAAGAAGAATTCTACATTCCTCTACTCATTGCAGAATACCTTATGTCACCAGACTTGAAATTCTAGACCTAGAAAATCTAGAACTACGCTGTCTTCGGTCCGATCTAAGTATAGTATATAAAATCATACATTGCAATGTCCTTCCGGTCAATGAATACTTCTGTTTCAACCATAACAATACAAGAGCACGCAATAGATACAAACTCAAGGTTAACCGCACCAAACTTGATTGCAGGAAATATGACTTCAGCAACAGAGTGGTCAATGTCTGGAATACTCTACCTGACTCTGTGGTTTCTTCCCCAAACCCCAAAAACTTTAACCTTAGACTTTCTACTATTGATCTCACCCCTTTCCTAAGAGGTCTGTAGGGGGCATGCATAAGCGCACCAATGTGCCTACCATCCCTGTCTTATTGTTTCTTTTATTTTTCTTATATGTATCCATTTCATGTATTCATAACTATGTTTTTTACTTATATCATCTTGTAAGGAATTGACATAAATAAACAAACAAACAAACAAACAAATAATAAATAAATAAAACACAATTTGCCTGTTTTCTTTAATGCTATGTAGTTTTTGCCATTGTGTCCTAGGGTTGCTTTTAAAGATCCTTTTGCTGGTTGAGTTGGTTTGAGGGCCTCAACTTTGTTATGGATTACATTTAGGTTTCCCTTCCTCTTTTGACCTTAAAACTAGAGAGAAACTCTACCAGAAGTCATGTTCCTGCCAGCACTATTCTTGGAATTATTAGACATACTTAGCCATCAGATCATCTCAAAGCAGTAACTCCTGAAATAGAAATGCATGTACTACAAATAAAATAAAATAATATACTCTGAAATCAGATACAATCAAAGCAGAATAACACGTAGATTCCCCATTTGATAAAGCAAACACATCAAGTTTTGAAACAGTGTAGATACAAATTAAGCAATTCAAGACACTATTTATAAAGATAACTGTACAATAAAGATATGAGGTTTATGAAAGGTGAGAAACAGATACTAGCATGGAGAATGGTGTGAGATGGCTTGGAGAACAGTGCTCGTTTGTCAGCTGTGGGAAAAAATGACTGAAAATGAGTGAGGTGCAACAGATCCTGTAGAGCTCAGGATGGTGGGGGCAATTTGGAGCATGACAGAATGGTGGGGCTATGGCTGGTTGAGGTGTGGTGCTTGAGGCAACATTACTCAGTGGAGCTGGTGCTAGACTAAAACTTGAGACCTGGGGGAAGTGGCAGCTGGTTAAGATTACTGAAGGCCCCAGGCCTTTACTTCAGCCCCAGTGCTGCTGCAGTAAGTGTCACTATGTAAGGTGGCCAAAAGGGCATAGATCATGGGGTAGACAGGTGGGTGGGGGAAACTGCAACACCCCTGCAGTCCTAAGTGTTGAGGGGAGCAGGTGGACAGCTGAGGCTTCCCAGGTCGCAGCAACTTTGTGCCACGTTGATGAGTCGGGCAGTTGGCTGAGGTATCCCGGGTTGCAGAAGCTTTGCATTGTGCTAGTGGGCTAGGTGGGCTTCTGAGATTTTCTGGGGTTAGGGTTAAGGTTCTACTTGCATAAAGCCTATATTGGGCCTCCCTCAACTCTCTGAGGAGCCCCTGCACTCTTTACTTAGGACTCTGTTTAATGACATGCAATTATTGCTTAACAACCACAACTAGGAATGTCAAGATCGTGGTATTGAATGAAGCGATCATATGACATCTCGCTTAACAACCATTTTGCTCAACAACTGAGATTCCAACACCATTTCTGGTTGTAAGTTTAGGACTGCCTGTATATTAATCAAGAAACATTCACAACCATTAAAGCCAAATTTGTTCCAACACCAGGAGATAATTTAGCACATAAAGGGTGTATATAAAGTGAAGTGTGTTTATTGCACTTTATCAACTTTCAAACAAGATTAAGTAAGATTCAAAGAAGATTGGAAAACTGGGGGAGAAGAACAGAGATATCTGTATACCTGGATATGTCGTACCCGAACCTGTGTGGGACGACATTGCATCGCTCGGGTATTGCAACAGCCTGTACACCGTTGCACTTCTACACAGGGTGGCCACACAATAAAATTGGCATTTGTTGAATCTACCATGCTCCGGGAGATTTCAAAGACTTCAGACCGTGTCTTGCACTCAGCAATTACTGCTGGCTCAATAGGTTCTGCTCCGCCTAGAAAAATCCAGAGGAAAAATTCATGGTGAAATCAACTTTGAAACTCATGATTGTTTTCCTTATTGCATGTTTAACTGTGTCTCATTTTATTCAGAAGTGTTTGGGGGCATTTCTGCTGTGTATTTTGAAGTTGTTAGAGGAGTCTTTGTAAGTTTTCTATTGGACAAGAGATGAAAATATTTCACCAAATATATATCTTAATTATTTACCAATTATTTTATATATCCCTCCATTATAACCAAATTAATTATTCTGCTCCTTTAAAAAACAAGGCATTTTAATTAGTTGATTCAGTTAAAGGATTATGATTTTCCATTTGCAGAATCTAAGATTCTTTTAAATGCATGTAATTAACCAATATTCTCATCTCTGAACCAGCGGCAAAACAGATTCCAAAGATTGAAACTGTAAAAAAGACTTCATTTGGTTTGGTAGAAGATAGGGCTGATTTATATGTGCAAAAACTAAAACTCAAGTATTTCTGGACAAAACCTAACCCCATACTTGTTGAAATATAGTAGCCAGCATGTCTACAGCTTACCTAAACTTCGTCTTCCACGGGACAAAGAAACAAGATTTTCACCAGCATACATTTGGGTAAAATTCATGTATGAACTAGAGGTATCTTCATCTGCAAAAAGAGAAAAAAAAACCCAATGTCATTAAGTAAATTAATATATAAGTTGCATCACTACAGCAAATACCCGAAGGTGCACAAAATCATAAACAATGAAATGACTGGTTGTAATTTAGCAAAATACTATAATTATCCCTCTTAAGAAGGCCAAGACGTATTATAGGCAATGTTGTGCTACAATAATAAACTCAATAAAATTCTACAACCTGTAACTCTACCTACCTTCTTAATTCTTTTCAAGATGTATTATATAAAATAAAATATATAATGATTATTCAGCATAAATATTTTAAAATTAGGAGGGGAAAATGTGCAGGTATTTTCCCTTGTTTGAAGGAATTGTAAGTTATAAGCAGTGATATACCTGGAGACTGTAGGAAAAATGCAATGATGCAAAGGTAAAGATTCTCCCCACCTTAAAAAATGATTATTTTTTTTCCCCAACATGACCCAAAATGTATTTCTAAGCAAGGAGAAAAATAAGAATGTATGTTTTGGATTTTTGCTTTTCAGTTACAAGGTGAGACTATAATTCTGTAGTAGAAGCCAAATTCTAGAAATCTGAAACTATGACAGTGAACCTCAAAATCTGCAGTTCTTATCATATCCCTTAACAGCTACAGTGGAAACTATTTGACACTTTATTTTAAGTTCAGATAATGCGGTGCTTAACACCGCAAGACCATTTCAATGGAAGTTGGTAATAAATAGCACAACAAATTAATCTGATACAAATTTTATAATATATTACTCTTCATTCTGTGTTTGTTTGCAGACATCCTCAGGTTACATCATATTTCCTATTACATTATATTTATTTTATACCCAATAAATCATTTTAATAATAACATTTATCTTTAGATTACTAATATTTGCCTGTAATAAAGTGCTGCTTGCATTGGACATGTTTTAGGTGGTTGTTGTTTTTTAAAAAACTCACAAAATTGTAAATATGAATAAACCTGAATGGTAAAATAAATTATTTGACTGATTTCAATTGCCTCTGAACCAATCTGGCTATTTATCCCTCTATTCAAGTCTGTACTTCATCAAACTAATAGAGACACTTCAAGATCTCAGGCCTTTGTAATTCTATCCTTCCAAAGTGAAGATGTAGGTAGGTATAATAGTTCTGTCCCTCCTACGGATGATGTATTCAATTTTAGCCAATTGGGTCTTCTGGGGGATGGGTAAAACATAAGGCTGCCAGCTTTCTTTATAAACATTCTCTAACATTTTCCCATAGGAAATGCTGAACAAAGCAATTCCCATCACATCACCCAGAGCTTCCTTGGAGTCAACAAACCCCTCCAGATTCCAAAGTCAATGGCAGTATTTGAAGATTGTTCCTACACAGTTGCAGTCTTTTCATTTATGAACTACTTAAAGTAAAGCAGGGCATATTTTATTTCTGGGGAATAATTCTGAATGTAAGAAATAAGTAAATAGAAAGCCTATAGAAAAAAAGAGAATTAAGGCAAAGTTGCTACAAGCACCTGACTGAATTTTGTGTTTACGGCTAAAAGAAATAAAGGCTCGGGTTTTCTACATCAGATTCTGCAGAAATCAAGACTCGATATATTGGAGATTCAGCACCCAACTATATAAATTTTGATTCTACAATATTCTAAAAGGCTATTATTCCAAGATTCATTGTTCCTAAAACCTCCCAACTCCCAAAGGAAAGAGCAAGATGAATCATGACATCAAAGCTTTATCTCTAATCCATGCCACTGAACTTAATTGGATCTTCCCATCTTCTTCCATCCATCCCCCATTTTCTGGAATTTTAACAGGGCAGGGTGGGGGCTGTATTTGTGCAAAGGTTAAACAGACAAGGGAAAAATAGCAATGCTGTTGACTTGAAACAAATCTTCTATTGAAAAACAGAGCTCTCCAGTTAACCTCACCCTTCCCCCAAGGGTGTCTTTTCAGACAGGGCAGTAAAGCTACTGCTGACCAGGGCAACAGGCCCAGCTGTGGAAAAGCCAGTGCTGCTAATTTTGGAAGGCACCCCATTGTATGGCTTGTGTAGTCCGGGACAGGCGGGTAGAGAAGCCAAGCAAGTTTAAGGGAAACAATAGCAGAACACAGCTGGTGCCCTCCCTCTTTTTTTCCCTCCTCCCCTTACAGGCATTTTGAAAGGGAGCGGGAATGCTTTTGAGAACGTGCCAATGGTCCAACTGGCATCGGAAACAAAGACAGGAAATTCTGTTCCCCCGTAGATAGTGTCTCGGCAAAGATTACAAAGCTACCAATAGACAAACACAAAAGAGAAGGCAGGGGGTGGGGAGGGGACAGGCGGGAGCAGAGGTTGGATCAGAATGGAATCTGTGAAGAAAATGTTTATAAATACATTCCAGGGCCAACCCAATGGCCATGACGCGTGCTCACATTCCTGCACGTGCCAAAGCCTATTCAATCTGGTCTGTGACCTCAGTCCTGAGACAGGTATCCCCAACTCTCTCTGCAGCCTGGTCCAGTCACCACATTAACTCTCCTCTCATTACCCGATGTCATTCATTTTTCCTTTCATATAGACTAAAAATCAAAAGCCAGGGAAATGAATTATGGAAGACTGATATCTAATTTCAAGCACAGAAGATTATAACACCACAGTCTAATTTTTTTCCGAACACCAGAAATAATTACAGACTGATTAGAAAATCATCATCATCATTAAAACCTATTTGCAAGTAATATGCCCCGGTTACATTATGAATTGCATGCTAGACTTGGTTCACGCCAAACATTAAAATATGCTATAGAATTATTCTGTGGATGAACTGCCACATACCATCTTGGGGGAGAAGCTTTTCAACCCAGATATAACCTATGGTTTTACTTTGTGTAATCTGAATCTAGAAAACACATAATTCACAATGGTATTTCTCAGGTGGTATACAAATGCATTTGTTGTTGCTTCATTGTTATATCTGTTAAAGATTTATTAAACAGGAACATTTGGTGTGGAAATTTACCTACGGATTCTATCTGCAGGACCTGCTGGAGGTCTCTGATGGAACGCACGGAGCTGTCACGCAGCAATTCATATATTTCTTCAGGAATGGGATCTCCCTGCCAAACCAAAAAGAAAAAAGTTTATTTAAATAGCTCTCCTATGCCAGTTTTGTACCAATTTTATACATTTCTCACAGAGCACATTCTTATACACCCTTTTCCAACCTGGTACCCGCCCCATATGTTAGAATTGCAGTTCCAAGATTCCAAAAGCAGAAAACTTCATAGTCTTATTGCACCTGGAAAAAATATTTGATTAAGAAAGGATGAATTAGCCAAAAAAGAGAAAATGATAAGGAGAAACGTGCACACATTTTACAGTGCAAACATCAGGAATAGTGTGTTCACCATCCATGTAATAATCTTTCATATTTTCTCTTTAAGAAAAAGAAGTATAACTTTGGAGGCCTTTACTGTCATATATCCAAGGATTCAGAATATTCCACTGATCAGCTGATCTTGAGATTGTTCCAAACACCCTCATCTGGAAATGGTTATTATTGTATAATCTTATGCAAGTTTATATAGGTCTACCAGCATTTATTGGAGTTTACTCACCTGCTTAATACTGCAACCTTATTACGTCTCTGATATTAAAGTCAATAAATAGTTTTTAATCTGCAGTTCAACTTGATGTTTGCATTAAATTGTTGACCCATTATATTGAGATCATGCACTATTAAAATTAAAACAGGCTTTTTCTGTATTCGGAAGGAAATGGACAATGTCATTTAATTATTTCAGGAATATAAAAACTGCTGGAAGAGTTACTCAAGATGTATTATACCTTACAGATATACAGTAACTACCCTGGTCATAGGAATAATTCATCAGAATAATGTTGAGGTAAATCTTCTGTATAAAATTTATCCATAAAAATTAGAAAAAAGTAAGAGGAAATAAATCTGTTAAATGCAATGCGAAAAATGTTACCTTTGTTGCATGTTGCATTTTAAGTCTCTATGCTAAATTTTAAAAAATTCAAAACCTACCATGATCAATACATTAGTCATAGAAACATTGAATTATGTGGAGTCAATGATAAAATACTAGTTCTGCTCTCCCCAAGAAGTTCTTCCAAATTAAATGCATATTCATATTGCAGTATCCTTCCCTTGCCACGCCCACCAAGCCACACCCACAGAACCAGTAGTAAAAAAAATTGAATCCCACCACTGATTACTGGGATAAATTATTTGAAGTGAAAATATGGAAAATGGGGAAAAGGTTAAGTATCCCAATGTTCTCCTTTATTTACTAAGTTAGCAGCTACACAACCTGTTCTGCATTTTTCAGACCATTGTCAAATGCATACCCTCCCTCCCTTTGCTTCTAGTGTATTAGCTGTACTAACATTCTATTAATACAGCTTTGTAGTACATGCAGTTTTCACTTGTTAGTTCCATTCTCAGCATTGCAGACTGTAAGGCTGTGCATGCTTCACAACTCTGGAACAAGTGCAAGCTCAGCATCTCTCTGATTCAGAATGGATAATACATGCCTTCTTTTAGGCTTCTGTCTGAGGCTAAGAAAAGATGTGGCTGCTTTAAAAATCAGTTTAATGATAGTTACTTTAATGAGTTGATTTTGAAAAAAGACTAGGTTCCCTTAAAAAGCAGCAGAGAGGTGCTATATTCATCCGTTGCCAAAAATTAAACTGTAATGCAAAAACAGCCTGAAGAGTGTTGCAGTTTCACATGATAGGACAAATGAATACTTTTAGAGTTAATGAAATGTTTTAAAAAATGACACGGCTTAATTTTTTCTTCTTCAATTGTTAACATCTAATACTTTATACAGCACAAACCATTTTAGATGGTGTTTTGGGTACACCAAATTAATCCTCACCTTGATAAAAAGGGGAGCAGAAATCCCTAGTTTGTGAGGTCAAATACAATTTTGTTTTTAAAAAAGGAGCCTAGTCTTTCAAAAATCATCATCTTTTTCTGGTAGTGATTTGAAAAAGAAATAAAGCTGTGAGACAAGTGAGGCTAGTATCAAATGGAAGCAGTTCAGATGCCTACTTTAAAGACTTGCACGTCCAAACATATTGGGCTTGACTCGCTAAGAAGTTCTGCTCACAATTGAAATCTATGGAAGCCACTTAAAAGATAATGCTTCTGGTCAGTACTGTGGAGCTCTACCAGGATATAGGTGGAAGAAGAAGAAAACTTGTGATCTCCATGCTAACCACACACCGATTTTTGCAGTCTCCAGAGCTCCATAATCACACTGGCAAAATACAATGATAAATGGTGATTTTTGAACGGTGCTATTTTTTGGTCTCTAAAAAACAGTTTGTAAGCTTTAATATCAATCTGTTAAATTTCCAAGAGACTTCATGTATCTGCTTTTCTGTTAAAATGTTAATTCAGTGCTCTTTAGTGATACCTTCACATCACTAACAAAGCTCCTTGTAGCCCTCAAGACTAAAAATAGCTTTGGAAATAGAAATGCATCCTCTGGAACAGCTGACTAGCCCTGCATTAGAGTTTGCATTGGAGAGCCTTCTGTTATTTTGCAATCATAGTCAATAGCATAAAACCCAGAATCCATAGTAACGTCTCTTGTGCTGAATCAGATCATTAATAACCCAACAGTAACTATTTAAATTTTCAGACAAGAATCTTTCCAGGAACCGAGCCTGGGACTTTTTGCATGCAAAGCATGTGCTCTACTACTAAACCATGGCATCTTTCCTAATGAATAAGTCACCAATGCTTTTTTCTTTTAAGATTTCATTACATTAGTTTTAACCTTTGCTTTAATAATAAATTGAGGGAGATCTATTTTTATGATACAATCCTCACAATTAGAGGCCCAACCCTGATGTATAACCACAGTTAAGGACTGACTGCAGAAACAATAAAGAAACATTTCTGCATAAATGTTTATTAATGATCATAGTACTCCCTATTGTTTTCCTTAACTAAAAAAAAACCCAATCTTTTAACTGCTGTACTGGGATGTGAGTGCTAGGGATTTTGCTTCTGCAATTCAGGATGTAGCATGTGGATTAAACTAAAGTACTTGGTAGGATAAAATGGGCTCCATTCAAAAAGAACATTGCCTATATCTGAGTATTATCTTTATGAATCTTTCCCATTTCCTCAACATTTGGCTAGATTATAATCAGAAGTACAATATTAGGTGTGGAAATGTACAAAATGTCATCCGTTCACCATGTTTCCTTCACAAATCACCCTTAACTCCAGATACCCGAACTTAAGGTATTAATCCAAAAATAACAAACTGCGATCATCAATTCTTGTTTTACATGTATAAGTTGTTCAAAACCTTCCAACAATACTAACATTTGAGCATATGCATGTAAAATATTCATTTCTGGATATACTTTATATGCCCAAATTATAGATTGCATTGCTTTGAGTTGACCTTGATTTGGAGATGAAACAAAAGTGTGTTTGACACTGCTAAATTATTCAGGAGGGATTTCCCTCTCATCAACAAGATTAGGCATCTTTTGGTCTTTATAGCAAGATACTCATGAGGTAATTCAGAAACAGGAACTTTTTATTTTATAAATATAAATAGGACTAGGCATATCTAGTTCAAATCTTTACTTGGATATGACGTTTCTCGAGTAACCTTGAGCTAATTACTAACATACCAGCCTATTATTTTATTAGGAGGATAAAATGGGATGAAATGGGGGGATAAAGTATGTATGACATGACTGGAGTGATCCTCCATATATTATTAAAAGCTACAGTCAGCATTACAAATAAATACGAGTTTCACAGAGCTATAGAATTTCAAAGGATTAGTTTAACTGTAGTTTCAAATGCAACACAGCTGAGCCAGAAATAAACTAGCCCAATTCTCAAATATGCCATTATTGTGGGATAAGAATAGTTGAGAGTTGCTTTCGAATTGTTGAAGAATCCATGGATGAAAGGGTTTTCAGAGTCATAGTTTATTAATATTTACAGAACCACAGATTCATCTACCACTGATAAATGCCATCTTAAGGTCAATGGATGAAACACAAAATATAATTATCAAATTAGGGGTAATTTAAATATAGATCTTCCCTTTTCTATAATAGCTTAAAGCAGCTTCTATGGAGATCTCCTTTCATTTTATTCACTGAATAACCTCATCAATTGTCCTATATTCTAGAAGATAATCCTCTGAACTTTTGTTCAGCCAAAGCATGATTTAAAGAAATATTTTAATAGGGAGAAATACACCCTGAACTATCCACTTGTAGTTAGCATCTGGACAATAAACTGATCAACTGAGCATTCTAATATTCTTTACTATAGTTAAAAATCAATTGTGTGTGTGTGTGTTCATCTGTCCATACAACCGAGAGCCAGTTTGGTCTAATGGTTAAAGCACCAGACTAGAAACTAGGAGACTAAGTTCTAGTTCTGCCTTAGACTCCTTCCTTCCTTCCTTTCTTCCTTCCTTCCATCCATCCATCCATTTTCAGCCCCAAAATTAAGCCTGCATTAGCTTGGACAGTATTTACCTAGAAAGGAGAAAGCAGTCTTCCATCCCAATCAGCTAAATAAAATATTATTGTTCCTCAAAGTATTGTGATTTTTCCTGTGAATTTTTTTGGACATTCTTGGATCCATATTTATTGAATTTTTATCCTGCCTTTTCCTCTGGGAGTTCACCATGGCATAGGCAGATGTCTTTATTTTGTTCCCACAATAACTCCCTAAAGCAAGCTGGAAATATTCTGACTGGCCCAAAGCCACCAGTAAATATCATGTTTGCCTAGGGGCTTTAGAAACAAATAGACACATCTGGAATTTTAAGAATATATGGTATGCATTATGGCTATGCAATGCTTTGGATTTGAAGGAGAAAAACTGTTTCAGAGTGTGCATCGGTGCACACATTGCACCTGTTGACAACTTCTTAAACTAAATGTCTTTTCCCCAGGATTATGCTCCCAGGAAAAGACCCAGCTGTTTTAAGGAATTGTCCCCATCCACAGTCTGAAATATAATTTTCCCTTCAGATCCAAAGTCCTGCACTATCCTTATGCAAGCTCTCCCAAAATGGCTGCCACAGATGAC